ACAGCCACTCCTTTGCCTAAGGTTTTACTTCCCTCCCCTTAAAAAGAAATCAGATTTGTTTAACAACTTCTGTCTTCCATGAATCCATGTTGTCTGTTGCTTAAAATATTTTTTTCCAGAAAGAACTCATCTATGTAGTCTTTAATTAAACTCTCCAACATCGTCCCACTATAGAAGATAACTAACAGGTCTATAAATACTTAGAAAATACTTTTGCCCCTTTTTTCATATAGGCACCACATTGGCCTTATGCCAATCCAGTGGTACCTTGCCAGTCATTAAGGAGTCCCTAAAAATTAGAAACAATGGCATTGAAATGACAAAGCTCGATCCTTTTAGGACCCATTAGTGTATGCCATCTGGTCCAGGTGCTTTATTCAGTCTAAATATTTCTGGACCATATCAATTGTGATCCACTGTGGATCATTTGGAGCTGTGTCAATATGATCCCCATTATGGACATGAGCTCCCCCATGTTCCTTTGTATACACATAGCGGAAGAAGGTATTTAATAAATTTGCCTTCCCTTTGTCCCCAGTCACCCACTCTAGATTATTTTGTAAAGGGCCTATATGCTCAGACCTGACCTTTTTACTATTATTATATTTGAAGAATTTTGGGGGGTTTGTCCTAATATCTTTTGCAATCTGTAGTGGCCTTGGCTTCCTTTTTACATATTCTGTTATATTGCTTGTAACAATTAAATGATGATAGTTTTCCTTCATTTTTAAATTTTTTAAAAGCTCTTTTCTTATCATTTGTAGCTTTTTTAACTTTGGCCACGAGCCACATACGCTATATTGCCAACAGTATTGGAACACCCCTCCAAATCATTGTATTCGGGTGTTCCAATCACCTCCATAGCCACAGGTGTATAAAATCAAGCACCTAGGCATGCAGACTGCTTCTACAAACATTGGTGAAAGAATGGGTCGCTCTCAGGAGCTAAGTGAATTCAAGCATAGTACCATGATAGGTTGCCACCTGTGCATAAAGTCCATCCATGAAATTTCCTTGCTACTAAATATTCCACAGTCAACTGTTAGTGGTATTATAACAAAGTGGAAGCAATTGGGAACAACAGCAGCAACTCAGCCACCAAGTGACAGGCCATGTAAAATGACAAAGCAGGGTCAGTGCATGCTGAAGTGCACAGTGCACAGAATTCACCAACTGACTGCCGAATCAATAGGTAAAGACCTCCAAACTTTCTGTTGCCTTCAGATTAGCACAACAGCAGTGTGTGAAAGCTTCATGGAATGGGTTTCCATGGCCGAGTAGCTGCATCCAAGCCTTACACCACCAAGTGCAATGCAAAGCATCGGATGCAGTAGTGTAATGCACACCACCACTGAACCCTAGAGCAATAGAGATGTGTTCTCTGGAGTGACTAATCAGGCTTTTCTGTTTGGCAATCCAGTAGACATGTCTGGGTTTGGCGGTTGCCAGGAGAACGGTACTTGCCTGACTGCATTGTGCCAAGTGGAAAGCTTGGTGGAGGGGAGATTATGGTGTGGGGTTGTTTTTCAGAGGTTGGGCTTGGCCCCTTAGTTCCAGTGAAGGGAACACTTAAGGCATCAGCATGCCAAGACATTGGACAATTTCATGACATTATTATTATTACTATTATTTTTATTATTATACATGATTTATATCATGCCAACAGTTTGCACTGCACTTTACAAAATGAAGATAGACATTACAGTTACAATACAATTTGCTACAAGAGGAAACAGAGGGCCCTGCATGTTAGAGCTTACAATCTAAGCTCTCTGACCTCAATCTTGACCTCAACCCGATAGAACACCTTTGGGATGAATTAGAGTGGAGACTGTGAGCCAGGACTTCTCATCCGACATCAGTGCCTGACCTCACAAACGGAAGAATGGTCAAACATTCCCATAGACACACTCCGAAACCTTGTGGACAGCCTTCCCAGAAGAGGTGAAGCTGTTATAGCTGCAAAGGGTGGGACAACTCAATATTGAATCCTACGGACTAAGACTTAGATGCCATTAAAGTTCATGTGCGTGTAAAGGCAGGTGTTCCAATATTTATGGCAATATAGTGTAGGTTTTATATGTAGCCTTTTGAACTTATTGCGCATATGGTCTTTTTGAAGAATTCCCATTTCTGTTCTGTTCATTGATGCCAATATTCCCTCTCAGTCTTGGAGCGCAGCCCTCATCCATAGAAAAATTTCTGTCTAAAAGTTGAGGGTTTTTTTTTTTCAGTATGTGCTTGTTGTTTACAGCTAACAATAAATGAAATCATGTTATGGTCACTGCTACCCAGATGTTCTTTTATATGAACATTGGTAATAAGCTTTGCATGGTTTGAGATTACAAGCTCCAGCAGAGTATCATTCCTAGTTGGGGCCTCTATGAATTGTACCATAAAATTGTATTAAGTTTATAAATTTTGCCTTTTAGCTGTTCCTGTAGTGCCATTACTCCAGTCAATTTCTGGGTAGTTAAAATCCCTCATTATTATCACTGTGCCAGTCCTTGCAGCCCTTTCTAACTGTGCAAGGTGCTCAGTCTTTACCTTCTCATTAACACTGGGTGGCCCATAACAAAATCTAATGATTACCTTTGTAGTACACATGCCCATGTGCAGTTCCACCCATAATGCTTCAGCCTCATCACACTCTCCATCAACTAGGTTCTCTTTCACACACACTTTGAGATCACTTCTCACATAGAGACAGATAGCACCACCTTTACTTTTTAACCTGTCTCTCTGAAAGAGAGTATAGCCAGAAATATTAATAGCCCAGTCATGTGAAGAATGAACCCAAGATTCAGCAGCACCTATTAAATCATGGTTTTCTTCATGTACCAAAAATTCCAATTCATGTATTTTGCTTGGCAGACTTTTGGTATTGGTGAACAAACACTTTATTTCATTGTCACATGTTTCACACACTTTTGCATATTTTTTTTTTTAGTACAAAGATTACCATTTCCAATGGTTGTTTGTAACATGGGAACCCTGTTATAACCTGCCATAGCCCTCCCCCATCTTTCCCTATTCCACTCACCAATAGCGACTTACCCCTGTCTGAACTGTCTGCCCTATTATAATCTAATTCTCCCTCCCCCCCTCAATCCTAGTTTTAATACCCCTCCAGCCTTCCCATAAACCTATCCCCCAGCACAGCAGACCTCCTTCCTTTCAGTACAGAAATATTCTTCAACCAATTGATGGCAGCATCTATGGTAAACTCAATGTCTTTTCTCTAAATAAGGTTTCCTATTTCCTTGTTACAGTGAAACAGAAAAGCATATATAGACGGTGCACTGTCTGTTCTGTAGGGCTATATACAGAATTTCTAGCAAAAGGTATAACAGGCATTTCTGCACATGGTTCTTATATATTATATTTCATACTTTGTTTATAGTAAGTCCAAAGTATGAGGCATTTAAAACAAGCTCATGACTGCAGTATCAACCATGAGTTTGTATCTATTTTCTTCAGCTGGTTCATGGCTTTAATGTGTTGGCTTTAACAGTGCTGGTTGTACTGGTATCTATTTACTTGATACTACCTCATCTTTTGTTTTTGCACAAAAAAATGGGGATTAAATTGTGTTTGTGTGCAAGTGAATTGTTTTTTTTCCTGAACATATAGATTTGATAAACAGTTGTGTAAAATGGAAACTACCATTAATTTATTAAACAGGTTCTCTGCATTCAGAAAACCTGTAATATTCTTGGGGTTTTAGGCAATTTTATAAGACACAAATTAAAGTGGCTCTGTAAGCATTAAAGCAGTATTAAACCCAAAACCAAAAAGGTAATTTGTAATGTTAAAAAAAATGCAGTGGACAAAATGCTCCACTGACTGCAGGTGTAGAGGTCGGGGTGTAGTCAAAGGTGTACATGGCTAAAAGTGTGCATAGCTTATTGGCTTATGGATTGTAGTTTCTCTTCTTTCTTTTCCTTCTTGTTCCTTTTTCACTATGCTTTGGTTTTTTTTTCTTTTAGGCAAAATAGAGCTTTGGGCAAAAGTTAATAGTAGGAACTCAATATTCTGTATTGTATAACAAAGCAAATAAAATAAGTGGGGTCTATAGCATGCTTAGTCAGTTGCAGGAGATGCAAAATGCAAATGGTGATACATAAGTCTCTACATGTCAGCAGCTCTTGTACACAACATGTCAGCAGGCCTCTTGTACACAGGGCTTAAAAAAACGCCGCTTTTACAGACATTTGATGTTTTTTTTTAATGCCTGCTAATGCACCTCCTATCTTAGCCTATGTGTTCATGCACACATAAAAATTTACAGGCATATTAGAAGGGGAGCATTTATGGGCAGAATGAAAACCATCTCCAGCATTTTCAGTAGGAGCTTTTGGGCAGAAAAAAGCCTGACACATCTAAACACACCTAAACAACAGACACGTTTAGTGCTTGAGTGCTCATTATTTCCAATGGCCAGAATAAATTAATATTCTGGCCAATGGAATCCATTAACACTCAAACAGTAGGATGTTACTTATTCATGAAAAGTTTAACTTTTTTTAAAATAATGTTCTACCATAAAAGTGTGCATCAAGTCACAATATGTGGTGGTGATGCTCTTCATTTGAAATGCTTGTATCTACATGTACATCACCGCCATAAGAATACAGAAATTTCCACTGGAATAGTACTTTCTTCCTTCTCGGACGATACCTGGTGAAACTTTCTTTGGCTCTTTGATGCTCAGTCCCAAAGGTTTTAATAGAGGATGTCAACCCTTTCCTGAAAAGTTCCTCTTTAAAACAGAAGCGGTTAATAAAGGATGTTTCCAGGGAGGATATTCACAAAGCAGACTGATGTATGATTGGCCCACCTCCCCGAGCAGGAAAGCAAGCAGAGATTAGAGAAAAATATATAAGGACTTTCCTCCTTTCTATCCCGAGTGATCTCAAGTTACATTGGCAGTACTCAGTATGAGCACTCTGGCAGTGTACAGGAACATCTACACGGAAGAGCAGTTTCAAAAGGTGTATGGCACAGTTAAGGACCTGGAGAGGCCTCCACTCTCTCTAAGGGAGAAGTTAGCCAGGAGCTGTAAATGTTCCTCTCATTCTATCCATACTTTTCTTAAGCAAAGGATCCCTATTGTGGCCTGGCTACCCAGGTACAAGCTGAAGAAATGGATTCTGGGAGATCTCATTGCTGGTCTGACAGTTGGCATAGTTCATATACCCCAAGGTAAGTGATTGAATTAACTTTTCCCTGAATATATACGTTTATCTGTTATTCCACAAATTAACATCTATCTATATCCTAAAAATGTGATCAGTAAAGACCAGAAAATAAAAATAAATCAATGTGAATAATCCATTAACAGTTTTTATTAGTTCTGATTGGTGAGATTCCTAAACAAACCACATATAATTAATATCTAGTTGTTTGTTGGAGCAGTAAGTTATTTTCTGTGCACAAATGAGAGATGTTAAACAAGTGTTCCTTTAAGGTCATTTTTTTTAAAGTGAGCCTATGCTTCCCAATTGTTTTCTATGCTGGTTTATATGTGTAATTTGCAGCCTTGTACAAATCAATTGATTGTTTGTTATCTCTGTGTTCTGTACTTGTTGTGCAGCATCTATATTCTTGTGTACAGTTGTTTCATTGCCACAAAGTGCCCCAACCCCCTACAATGTATAAATTAAATACCTGTAATTCCGATCCTGTCCTAGTCTAATGTAATGTTTGTGGAGCTTTGCAGTATGGGGTATTGTAAAAAAAAAAAACTATGAAGAAACACTGATAGTAAGAGTTAATGTACTGAGATAGGATACATATTTGTCATCTGTAAATAATTTGTTGCAAATAGGTTAATGTACAGTGTAAGTTACATAAAATACCTATAGCTTAAAGCTGAACTCCAGGGAAAAACAAAAAAAAAATCACTTGCAGTGGACTGCAAGGGTTAAATACTCTTTTATTGGTATAGATTACCAGTAAAAAAAGACCTTTATTTACCTAATCCATGGACTCCCTGCATGCTTTAAGACTGGCCTCTGCAGCCTCTTCTCTAAGGCACTCCGGCAGTCGCAGGTACAATGACATCATCAAGTGCAATGTAGGCTCAATAGGTCTGCAATGTATGTGAGGATGCCAAGGGACTGCCTACAACTAGAGGCATCAGAGAGAAGAATTTTACATCGCTGCCAGAGAGAAAGGAATAAGTCCCTTTTACTGGTACACTATGCATAAATAAGAATTTAACCCTTATAGTGCTGGGGCACCCCACTTCTCAGGATTTTTTTGTTCTCCCCAGTATTCAGCCTTTTGTTAGCCAAAAAAATTTGCATGAACAGATATTAATTGTACAGCCCACTTAAAGTAAAATAAGGAACTTAACACAAATGTGTTTGATGGTTTGATGGAAAAAATTATGCAAATATATATATTTGAACCATGAAAATACTTTGCATGATCAGCAATTGATCTAATGCTGTAATGAATGTTTACAGCTCTTCCTATAAATGATCATTTCTATGATGGCTCAACAGCATTGCCTTTGCTGCCTGTTTCAATTCTACCTTTTTTGGTACATGCATTGCTGCCATAAGGGTCATTCATTGTTATGTAGCAATTACATGCACATGACGTAGAATCCTTTCAAAGATGTACAAAAACATCTAGCTTTTTGCCATTAAGGCCCTTCTTTTACATCTTTTAGAAATTCATGGTAGCAGCTAAACTGTCATTCAGATCTAACCTGGTTATATATGGGTGATTTGGCAAACTTTGAACCAGTTGTGTTTCTTCTGTATATTTTGGTCTTATAATCATATTGTTCCTCTGAAAATGAACAGTGTGTTTTACCATGAAATGTTTGCATGTGGTTAGAATTGAAATCCAGTCTTATCTCAATAAAGCTCTATGGAGAGTAAAGTTGTATAGAATTCATGAGAATAAGACTTGACCTGTATAATGTAGATTAGTTTACACCATTCAGGCATAAGAGAAAACTAAGTGTTCAGTGATGAGTACATGAAAAATATGATTGTAAGGGAAACCAAATTTCTAGTACCAGAAAACCAGTACAGGCTTATGCTCATATTTGTGTGTATTGCTTACATGATCAAGCAAAGAAGCAATAGACATGCTATTCCAGTTCATCATGCGCATGCTTTTGCACGCATGACAACATGCAAACGGACATGCGCGTTCCAATTAGTGTGTACACTTGGTGCCCAATGGCCTATTTAAATGGGTCTGTCATTATGAGCAGTTGCTGAATGGTCTTCAGCTTGTTTCTGTGTTCCTGTGATCTGATCCACTGTACCTGCTTACCTGTGTATGACCTGGCTTGCCCTTGGACATCTCTTCTGCTCCTGCCTAAACTCTGTTCACCAGACCTTGGCCTGTTTACTGGACTTGCTTTTGCCTGCTATTCCTGTACCACCTTGCCCTGGCTGTTACTGACCTTGGCCTGCCTCCTGGACTTGCTCTGCCTGCCGATTTGGTCCCTTGCTGCCTGGTCATTGCTGACTGCTGAATGCTGCCTGTCTCCTGTTCCTGCTTCTGTCTTCTGCTCTGGTGCCAAGCTGCTACTGCTCTCCATTCCAAGGACTGCAACTACCAGCTCTACCCACCTACAGAGTGGACACCACCAGCCAGCTACTATGGCACTCGTGCCACTCTTTGCTCTCGCACTCTCTCTGTTTCCACCTTCAGGAGTGTTGGGCAGGAGGTGCAAGAGAGGCCTCCACAACATTTCAGTCTTCACCAGGCAGGGGTGGACTGACCATTTGAGCACTCGGGCACTGCCCAAGGGCCCGGGGTCAGTAGGGGGCCCCATGAAATGCCCCTGGTACCTTTTATAGGCTTTTTTTGAGTGTGGGCAAGGACACAGGTGCCCCATGATTCTCTGTTGCCTCTGGGGCCCCATGAGTTGTCAGTCCGCCCCTGTCACCAGGTATGTGCTAATGATATACAACTACAGAACAATAAAGGAGTAATGATGCCAACAATCAATAGATAATCATCTGTCAAAACTCAATTAAATAATATCAGTTGGAAATGGGAAATTCTAGCTAATTTTATCAGAATGTTAAAGATTAAAACAAAAAGAAGAGAACTAGATGGCAGACAATGTATAATTCTTACTTGCCCTGTTTATTACTTAACCGCCTCCTGCCCGCCCACCATATAAGGAAATAATGGACAGGCGGTGGTTCTTTCATTCTGGGAGGAGGTCATATGATGTCTTCCCACTCTAACCCGCGTGTGCGCGCACCCCGGGGGTGCATAGCGCAGCTATCGGTGGCGCGCTGTGTCCCTGTGACACAGCGGATCACCGATCAGCGCAAAGAGCCGATGACTACGGCTCTGTCATGTGATCAGCTGTGTCCAATCACAGCGGATCGCATGTAAATAGGGAAATGCTGGTTATCGTCATTCCTATCCTGACGAGCTGTCACACTGACATTTCGTGAGGAAAGGAGAGCCAGTAATCAGCATTCCTGAGAGGGGACATCTACACTGATTTATCAGGGCACTGATGATCAGTGCCTTGATGATCAGTGTAGCCCCATCAGTGCCAATTGTCAGTGTCCATCAATGCCACCTGTCAGTACCCATCAGTGCACATCAATGCCACATATTGCCTACCAGTGCACATCAATTCCATATATCAGTGCCCATCTGAGTTGCCTTTCAGTGCCACCTATCAGTGTCAGTTAGTGCCACCTATCAGTGTCAGTCTGTGCCACCTATGAGTGCTACCAATCAGTGCCACCTATCAGTGCCAGTCAGTGCCGCCTATCAGTGCCCATCAGTGCCGCCTAACAGTTCCAGTCAATGCCACCTAACAGTGTCAGTCAGTGCTGCCTATCAGCGCCAGTCAGTACTGCCTACCAGTGCCACCTATCAGTGCCATATATGAGTACTGCCTTTCAGTGCACAACAGTGATGTTTGTCAATGCCCACCAGTGATGCCTGTCAATGATGATCAGTGCCACCTACCAGTGCCTTCTCATCAGTGCCACATATCAGTGCCCATCACTGCAGCCTTATTAGCGCACATCAGTGAAGGAGAAAAATTACTCATTTACAAAATTTTATATCACAAACTAAGAAAAAAACTATTTTTTTTTCAAAATGTTCAGTTGTTTTTGGTTTGTTTATCAAAAAATGAAAAACCCAGTGGTGATTCAATACCACTAAAATAAATCTCTGTCTCAAAAAAATAAAAATTTCATATGGGTACAGTGTTGCATGACCACGCAATTGTCATTCAAAGTGCGACAGTGTTGAAAGCTGAAAATTGGGCTGGGCAGGAAGGGGGTGAAAGTGCCCGGCAGACAAGTGGTTAAAGTACAACTAAAGACTCCTGTATGACAGTGTGAACAAGTACCAAATCCAGTTACTATGTAATGCACACGCCTCCTGACTAGGCCATTTCTTCCTTCACTTGTGTCTCACATGCTCCCCTCACAGACACTGCAGCTCAGGATGGTTTCAGCAGCAGAGGCAGTGTTGTCAATCCAGAAAGCAGTGGGCAGTACTAGGTGTGGCAGGTATTGATTGGTAAGCAACAGGCTTGTGAAACAGCGATGATCATTCTGATAATGATTTTTTCATTTTACTGTAGTGCATGCAGGCACAGTTTAGCTGAGAGTGAAAAACTCTGGTTTCAGTTGATATGGCAGTAGTTGCCACCATCAAAGGAATCAGCTTTAGATGGACATCACTGTCAGGCTCAGCAGCTATTTGTGGGACTTTGCTTGGAAACTTAGAGACACCTGTAAGGGCAGATGCACTTTTAATAAATACCACAGCATATTTGTATTTTTGTAATAGGAGGGCACAGTTTTACCTAAAAGCAAACCTTCCAGGAAAAATTACTAGTGCTCATCTGAAAGACCCCCACTCCCCCTTTATAAAATGTTAGGATGTAAAAAAGAAAATCCAAGAGTCTGAAAGCAAAAAAAAAAAACTTGCATCTATAGTATGTATCTATAGGCTGGAGGACGTTATTTTTGCTCAGTAGCATTCTCAGATCTTAGAATGGATTATTACATCAAGTACTTACAGTAGTAAAATACAGAACTCTTGTGCTGTACCTGATTGGCTCTCCTTCTTCAAGTTTTTCTCTTTAAAATAAGTGTTTAATGAGGTTATCTTATGCCCTATAATGATTAAGTAAAAATAAGTATCTACTTACTGCATCAGGTCATCTCACATGGTTATAGCGC